ATAAAGGAGAGAGGAAAGATGAGAGAGAGAGATAGATAATGGGCCCTAGTGGGCTAGAAGTTTGATACCAGTATCACACAACATCTAATATGACTTTTAAAAGAAGACTAAACCCATTAATGAGATGTTTCAATAAAATGTTGGCTCAATTAGCTTTGGTTGACAAAAAATATTTTAATGATGATTGATGTGATCTAATGATTTTATAATAATCATGTAAATTTAAATATTTATAAAATTATAAAATACTAATTTTTAGAGTTTTAGAAATATTTCATAAAAAAATCAATTATAATTAGATAAGAGGTTTCAAAAATAGTGAAAACTTTTTAAGTGGATCACAAGGATGCCATATAATATCAGGAAATATTTTTAGATTTTTTTTTTGTAAATAATATTTTTTTATAATTTTAAGACTAAATAATAAAGATATAATATATTTAATATTCATGAAAAAGGGAAATAAGGGTGTGTATATCAAGATGATGTCACCAGGTAGACTAAACAAAGTTATGCCTATTGATTCTTATGTAAGTAATTACACACAATTTAATTGATAAAATTAATATTTGTAAAACTCAAAAGAATTGTATTTGAATGAAGAAGGTTTTTAAAATTTGAAATCACATTAGTTATGATTAGATTAAACAAAAACTAAGTTTAAAGTAAGAAAGATAGAGTTCTGACCTCGTGACAAAGATCGACAAAATTCTATATGTTTGGGAGGATTATCATAAAATATACATGGCCTCAAAGGCTCTCATTGGACAAGGATGACATGGTCAATATCTAGATCTTCTTTTGAAGTCTAGGAATCTAAGGTGGGTTGATGAATCATTTTCGACGCCTGTCACCTAATGGAGTGAAAAAATGATGACTTTACAATCTCCAACGGCTTTTACTAGACGGAGATAAACTAAATGAAGATGGAGTGCATCTTAGGAAGTTTTATCTTCAGATTTGTATAGTAAGAGCAGACTCTTCATCACATCTGATACGCTCTTAGGAGGTGGCAACTTGTCTATTGGTAAATTGTCCTCTTTCTGACAATAGCTTGTTCATTGATCAATTAGAGATAATTTACTTGATAGATTTCATAATCTATTTATTTAGAATCATTCAGTAATTTTGGCAATGATGTTTCACGAATCACGTTGACGACATTCACATCGATGATTGAGCGATTTAAGTAGCTTAATCATTAATGACAATCTATAGGAAAATTATGATTTAATTAGATAAAAATATGAGTTTTGGCTTTGGTGAGATTCGAACCTTCACTAGTTGTCCACTTGCATGAGAGAGAGTGAAATAAGTATATGAATACCTTTATAAAGTGATGTCATAAAGGTGTATTCTTCTTATAAATATTAAAATTATTGAAAACCTTTCAGAAAGTTGTGATGGTGATTTAGTTCTGCATCAATGATTTTCTGAGTTTTGAGACAAAGGTATCGCCTCTCTCTTGTGTGTATACAACTACTCCTTGCTTCATGCCTAATTGGCCACTAATGATATGAAAGGGGAGTGACATAGACGTGTACCCTATTAGTCTTGAGCTGTTTGAGTCCTTGATAAGTCTTCATTATCATGAGTTAATAATTAGTAAATAATATATTTTTAGCCTTAACTCATGATAAATAGACATATTTGTGTTAAAGTGTGAAAAGTGATTTTCAATTAATTAATGTAATTTTTTGGCTAATTATATAATTTTCTACGAATTTATATAATTTTTATAATCTTATTTTTGAGATAAATGAAGAAAAAGAAATTAAACTTTAAATATAGAAAAATAGGGAGGACCCACTAGCCAGCTAGGCCCGCAAGTGAGTCAGAAGCATAGTCAGAGGGAGTTGTGAGCAAGGGCTCGAGTGGCTAGGACTGATGGGGGCACGTGTGCACCACTCCCCTTCTATGTCACTAGTGGTCAGCCGACTGTGAGACAAAGAGTGGTCATACATGGGGGAGAAAGAGACTCATTGTTTGCAAATGTGATATTATTATATATTCACCCAAAACTTCAGTGCACAAGCGATGTGGGACTAAACCTGCGTCACACCTTTCCCTGAAAGTCTTCAAAGATTTTAATATCTAAAATACCATTTAGTTATAACAGAGATATACCATGATGACGTCACTTGATAAGAGACTTCGAGTACTTATTTCAATCTCTCTCATACAGGCAGACAATCGGGGCGGGTTCGAATTCTCCAAGAGCCAAAAATCATATTTTTATCTAATTATCGTGACTTTCCTACAGATTGCTGGTGAAGGATTAAGCTGCCAGAATCACTAGATCATCGGCGAAAATCTTGTCAACATGATTCGCAGAGCATTATTACTAAAATTACTAAATGATTTGCAATAAAAGGATCGCGAATCCATCGAGTAAATTATCTCCGATTGATCGACGAACAAGCCATCGTTGAGAAGAGGATGATTCCTTGGGAGACGAGTTGCCACCTCCTGAGAGCGTACCGGATGCGATGAAGAACCTTCTCTTACTGCGCGAACTTGAGGATGAAGCCCCCTGACACGCACCCCATGTCCATCTAGCTCCTCTCCATCAGGTGATAGTCGCTGGAGAACCACAAAGTCGTCATTTTTCTGCTCTACTGAGTGACAATCACCGGAGATGATTCGACAACCCATTTCCTTAATCTCTAGACTTTGCAAGGAGATCTAAAGATTGTCCACATTATCTTTGTCTAAGGAGAGCTTTTGAGGCTATGAACACTATATGACGATCCTCTTGAATGCTCAAGATTCTGGTGCACCATTGACGCATCGCCACCACGACGCCGGAACTTTGTTTTCCTACTTTCAACTTAATTTTGACTTCATTTAGTGATAATTTGTGCGATTTAAATTTACCAAGCTATACTTCATTCAACTTTCATTCTTCCAACTTTTACAGATCTTAATTTGATCAATTATTTGATCAATCGCCGGATGAAACTCTATTTTTACAGAATTCGTGCTGATGTCATCGTGGTATCTGCACCCTTATTTTCCTTTTTTGTGAATTTTAAATATATTTTAGTTTTATTTCTTAGTATAAAATTCATAAAAACTCGTATTATTTGAGAAAAAATTTGAAAAATTATTCAATATTATATTATATTCCTGTGATCGACCTAGAAAATTATCACTATTTGTGAAAGTTTTATTGAATTATAATTGATATATTTGTTTAGAAATACTTTTAAATATCCAAAAATTGTTATTTTTTTGTTTTTTAAATTTTACATTTGCATGATTTACTATACAATGACTAAGTCACATTAGTGCTCTACTTATAGTTTTACTCGACTGTGCTTTTGACTTACTTATAGGCCAAGTTGGCCAACAAGTTCCCTCTCTCTCTTTTCTATATTTTTATTTTTATTTTATTTCTCTTTATTTATCTCAAAACTATGATTATAAAAATTATAGAAATTTGTATAAAATTACATAATTAGTCAAAATTTCACATTAAGTAAAAAAATTATATTAATATTAGTCTATTTATCACAAGATAAGGCTTAAAATATATTATTAATTGATTATTAACTCATGATAATGAAGACTTATCAATGATTAGTATATTTATGATCAAATGATTTTTTTTAATTATATTTAATTAAATATTTCATGTGAAATCATTTGGCAACTCATATTTAATTAATAATTATGAGATTTTTTAAAACATATTTATCATATTAAAATGTACTTACGAGAATACAAGTATATTATTTAATCCTCATGACTTGAGATTGATAATTTTTTTTTAAAGTATTTTCAAAATCATTCTTTTATCTAGTGGATAGATTTTCAATCATTTACACATCATACCCTTGGATTGCAAAGAATGAATTTGAATATTGTGAAATGCGATGAAATTATTATATAGCATGTTTTCAATATGTTTGTAGATGTCATTTAAAGCAATGCAATGAAGATATGAAAATAATCTCATGGGTTAACATTTGAAGAATGAATATACATGTTTAATTTTCATGTGAAATTATTATTTACCTTTGAAGTATATTATTCCTGATTGTTAAATTTAAAGTAATGATTATGAGAAATATTAAATGAGTGATATAAAGAGCTGATACGAAACCTTAAAGGTGATATTTCATGACCATATTTTGTCTGCCATAATTTAGATGCTATTTATATTCGAATATTTATTTTAGAGAATATTCACATGTTACTTTGTGGCGACTTACATCCATAACTGAAAACCTAGTTTTAATATTTTTTGGGATTGACAAATCTGATCTTGAATCCACTTTAAAAGTTGACGGCAGATACCAAGTCTTTTCTAGAATCTGGCCCGAAGATCTCAAACCAGTCAAGGTTAGCGATATTAGGAGGAAAATACGGCCTCATAAGTGTGAGTCTTTTAAAATTTAGACGGTGCTCCAAGGATACGGCATTTCATGATTTTCTCCCTGAGATTCCCGTGTGATAAGCGATGCGAGAGCCCGAGAGTGACGATGCCTACGAGGAGCAATTTAATGATGGTCAACGCTCTCATGTGATTCCATCATTCTTATGGCCGCTCAGGCGCGATAAGCGTTAAGTTAGCCAAGAACGGTTGCGCTCAAAGAAGCGAATATCATTTGTTCTCTGAGAAGTAAAGAACAGAAAAAAATTTGTAATACATAATCGTGTATGAAGGATTCCAGAAGGCAAACCCTAAACCAGCACCGGAGGGACCACTTATTTACGTTCGTCCTCCGCCGAATAGCCCACAACGCATCAGGATCGTGGATGAGGAGAAGCGTAGTCTGCATCGCAGGCACTGACCACGCAGGTATTAATGGTGTGTAAGAGGTTGGAGAAAGGGGAGGTATCGGGAGATATCACCGAGGGAGGCCCACTTAGTAGCGGGGGGCGGAGGTAGTGAGCTATCGATAGTACGGCGTAGAGGGAGACGGAGGCTGTGGGGGTGGGGACTTTAAGTAGTACGGAAGAGGGGGCGACGGTGAAGGTGGGGGTGGGGACTTTCAGTAGTAGGGAGGAGGAGGAGAGGGTGAGGGTGGAGGTGGGGACTTGTAGATGTACGGAGGAGGTGGCGAGGGTGAGGGTGGGGGTGGGGACTTGTAGACGTAAGGAGGAGGAGGCGAGGGTGAGGGTGGCGGTGGGGACTTGTAGATGTAAGGAGGAGGAGGCGAGGGTGAGGGTGGGGGTGGGGACTTGTAGATGTAAGGAGGAGGAGGCGAGGGTGAGGGTGGGGGCGGGGACTTGTAGATGTAAGGAGGAGGAGGCGAGGGTGAGGGTGGGGGTGGGGACTTGTAGATGTAAGGAGGAGGAGGCGAGGGTGAGGGTGGGGGTGGGGACTTGTAGAGGTAAGGAGGAGGAGGCGAGGGTGAGGGTGGCGGTGGGGATTTGTAGATGTAAGGAGGAGGAGGCGAGGGTGAGGGTGGTGGTGGGGACGTGTAGATGTAAGGAGGAGGAGGCGAGGCGAGGGTGAGGGTGGGGTGGGGACTTGTAGATGCAAGGAGGAGGAGGCGAGAGGGTGAGGGTGGGGTAGCGGGGGACTTGTAGATGTGGGCGGGAGGAGGAGGCGAGGGTGAGGGTGGGGGTGGGGGGACTTGTAGATGGGGAGGAGGCGGCGAGGGTGAGGGTGGGGGTGGGGACTTGTAGATGTAAGGAGGAGGCGGCGAGGGTGAGGGTGGGGGTGGGGGTGGGGACTTGTAGATGTAAGGAGGAGGAGGTGAGGCTGAGGGTGGGGGTGGGGACTTGTAGATGTAAGGAGGAGGCGGCGAGGGTGAGGGTGGGGGTGGGGACTTGTAGATATAAGGAGGAGGAGGCGAGGGTGAGGGTGGAGGTGGGGATTTGTAGATGTAAGGAGGAGGAGGCGACGGTGAAGGTGGGGGTGGGGACTTGTAGTGGGATGTGGGCGGCGGGGTCTTCACAGGTGGCGGCGGAGACTTATAGATGTAAGTAGGGGTTGGAGGCACATGGTGCTTGTGGCATTCCTTGTATTGCTTCTTGGGGGCGTAGGCGAAAGACTTAGTCTTTAGGACAATCAGCCTGTTGGACGTAGACTTGACGTGCAGCTTGGCTCCCTTGTTCCCCCTGTTGATGTCGGTGGCGACGTTGCAAAGGGAGCCATTGGGGCCAGCATGGAGCTGCGCCTTGCAGTTGGCAGCTCCATACTTCACGTAGTCATAACCCTTGACAATGATGGAATATACACCAGTGCTCCTAGTCTTTCCGAATGCGAGGATATGCTTATCGCCAGCCTTGCAAGTCACCTTCACAGTGGCACCTGTGCATGGCAACATCGAGAGATGTTTTTAGACCGATGGTTTAATAATTTTGATGAAAATATATACTATTTATGTTTTCCCATTATTTTGTGTATTTTATAATGTATGATTCATATGATCCTGACGAATAACCTTCTACCATGAGTCAAAATGAATTGGCATTAAGATGTTTTAATGGGGACGGTTTGAACACAGTGAATGGGGGGGCTATCATGCTTATAGTTAGATATATCTAAACTTATAAACCTGTATCGGTTCAAGTTGAAGCTCAGTTGATTGGGTTTACTCCCCAAAAGTCAATGAAGCTGTTTTCATGGTGGCTTTATTTGAAATACAATGAAGCTATTAGAGAAAGAAGTATAGTACCTTGGAGAAGCTTCTTGCCATGCGACTTGGCGGGTTGATTCCAGTCGTAGCATTGGTAGCAATAGACATTTCCGGTAACCTTGACAACAAGTTCACGATTTGGTGGGGGGGGGGACTTCGCCGGAGGAGGCGGGGAACGGTAGTAATAAGGGGGAGACGGAGGTGGCGGCAGCGATGGCGAAGGACGCGGTGGAGATGGATACCCTTGGGCCATCGCACTGCGGACATTACCCGCCAGGAAGATCACGGCCAGGGTCATTGCGGATGGCCCCCGGCCGGAGGCGACGCCCCCTTTCAGGGTGTCAGGATGGCGTAGCCCATGGCTCTTCTCTTCCGTCCACTCTCGCACCGTCTACACGAGAAGTGTAGGGGCGAAGCTGAGAGATGAAGGCTAGATATCGTCGTTTTGATGGAGAGCCTATCACCGAAGAGACTCAAGGTATTTATAGACCTCGAGAGAACAGCACGTCGTAGGTGCGGCAGATGGCAGTGAGGCCTACCTGCCCTTTCGAGTCCTCGCGGACGGAGGCATCAGTCGGGGACGCAAACCCGCGGCTTGGAGTGGTCACCGCGGGTGGCCGTTGATGAAGTCTCTTGACGCTTCGCGTGTGATGAGTCGGCTGACAGAGTGAAATGTTACCGCGAGTCAAGCCACGCAAAGTTGTGGGGGCGGTCGTTGAAGGGTAAGACAAAAGGAGGGAGAAAAGAGGTCGTCTGAGGGGTGTAATTGATTGACTCTGTCATCGCCGAGACGTGGCAGCCGCCTTGGGCAGTGGAGCTGGTCTCCTTGACATGAAAGTCCATAGGGGTTGTTTTACGCACGTGATCACTTGAATCTTTCCGCCCTCTTTCTGTATATCCTCACGTCCCGTATACAATGAAACTTACTCTATTCCTTGACGATTTCAAGTCCCCATTTCCTGTGTCATCCAAGCGTAGCCGAATTTGATAATTCCAAGCGTGGACCAGAGCAAGCATAATTTAATAAAATTTGGAGCAGCAGAAATGTCTCCAAAATGGGCTCAGAGCAAGTTGCTTGCGAATTCAGTTTCCACCTGGATCGACCCAACCCGATGTCTCATAGGCATATACCGGAGGTAGCTTGCATAACAATATCTCTCTCGTTCTATCTATATATCTATCTATGCATGTATTTGTGCATGCATGTATCTATCTATCTAGCTAGCTAGTTAGCTATCTAGCTATCTATCTATCTGTGTACTTGAGCTTCGTCTGGGCTTGACAATGCTCATCCCGGTCAATTGTTTATAATTGTACCACATTAAAAGGCAACATGTATTATTGAATTGTGATACTTGTATGGTCTTCTAGCGTTAGAAGAAGTCGTGTTCGTCCCACACCAGCAACGTCCTCCCACGCCTTTTATTTTGTCAAATATGTGTGTATGCAATAACAGGCAACTCTAAACTAGAAATAGCCATAAGTGCGGGGAGTGAGCCTGGTATGATAAGAATTCAGTGATGTCAAAGAAGTATCAAGGAGGGCCCTCACAGTCCGAGGAATTCCCAAGAATTCTACAGGGAGCACAAAATATCAGACAAATGATTAGATCATGAGGGATAAACTATCAATGGGAGATCCAATGGAATAGAATTTATATATATTATATATATCATAGATTCTTTTCTGAACCCTCGTGTTATGACATATGTGTAGTTCAAGTTGCTATCATGTTCAGTAATCAATTACTTCATTCGCTTACCTATTTCAACAAACAAGCTCAGGTGAGACTGGCCTATCATATCTACTTTTTTCCCTACATGAAGCTTTAAAATCATTCTCAGAAGGCCATATAGTCTCGCTATGATTCCAATGGCATCTCTCTCTCTCTCTCTCTCAATAGTACCTATGGAGGGTTGAGTCAACATTAGTTGGGCTTTAGTTTAGCTCATAGTCTTTCGTTTGGGCTTTTTCTCTGGGGTCAAAGCCAACTTGATGATGTTGAGTTATGGATTAAATCAATGTTATTTTGATAATTTTTAAAAAACTAAAATTTAAACCATAAAATTGATAATATGAAATATTCATTTAATTGGATATTCATATCTTAGTTGATATTAAAGAGTCTAAGTTATCAAGACATACATAAATGAAAATTTAGTAGTACTAAGTTGTAAAAGGATTAAATTGATGACCTAGATCATATTAAATATCTCACACTATTTCAAATTCTCATTATGGACATAAATGTTATAAAATGAGTAACAGTATAATAAAAAAGCTATATGAGATAAATCTATTATCATCTTCTATGAAAGTTTTAATATTTAAATTTTCTATATCAATGGCTTCACCAATACAGGTATGTGAGTAGTCAATAGAAAGCCATTCGAATGAGGAGTCAATGAAATATATTTCAAAGAAAGTTGTTAATGAGTTGATTTTTTATTGAGTTAAAAAATTTCTACATTAATATCTTCGCCCAATGGCAAAAAACAGTTCAGAAGCTTGACCCATCTAACTAAAATGATTTTTATCTGATAAAAAAAATATAATAGATACAAGCATGTGACTATTAAATGGAAAGAACTTACAAAAGAGAATCTAAAGTTGAAAACGACACAACAAAATTCAAAGTATTAATAGAGATATTATTTTTGTAAACTTTATGATTATTTTTTTGTATTTTTGAGAACCCATGTGTAGCTGGTTAAGGCCCATCTAAGTCCCAACCATTTGACCTGAGAAAGGCCAAAAACGGCTAGTCCAACCTAACCATAAAAATGGGGCATTTCGACCAATTTCGGATAATGAGAAAATAGACAAATTTCAGACAACAATAGTTGCTTCGAAAGACATTTCTCATCTTTATCTTCTCTCATTTCTCAAAGATCCAAGGAAAAAATCAGATTGATTCAAGCTGAGTTGTGCATACTATTAGAATCTCAATTTTTTCCTCCCTTGACCCAAAACTTCTGAAGCCCTTTTAACAACTCCTATCATACCAAAATGACATGTGAAGCATGTGGTAACTTTGTTCCAGATTATATGTTTTTTTTTATGTGTGGTATATGGACTTGTTGAGACACATGTAGTGTGTTGTCAATGTAGTCCCATAGGTCTTTGAGGTAGCTATGGCATGCTTGCAATGGAAAGATCTTGGACTACTAGAGTTAGGGTTCTAGGTGGAGTGATCATGGACTTGTGGAGCCTAAAGATGGTTAATGCATCATCCTTGTATGTTAATAAAGGTAAAATAGTGATAAATGTCACACTAACCAATGTCAAATGTAATAAAATCATGTGTAATTGTTAAACACGATTATAGAATTAATTTCATCAATTTATCCTGAAACATGCATATTATTTTTGAGAATTTTGTACTTTATCCTCTAATTTTTGTTCCAACATGATTGTCCAAAGTGGATAATTTAATATAATAAAGAGGAAATTACTTTGTGCAATTTTTGTGAAGTTTAAGTTAGAACAAAAGATGGCACAAATCATAAAAGGCCAGATTTATATTCTAAGCCATGTCAGCACACAAGTGCGTGGAGACTTGTTGGATGCCACCTCAACTTCCTATTTTTGACAACCCAAAAAATTAACAATAATTGTTAGGAGGTCAGAGGAGGAGAAGGGGGCGTTTTTCCTTTCTTCCCATTTCTCCCTCTCTCTCTTGTTCTCTCCCTCTCTTTCTTGTTCTCTCCTTCTCTTTCTTGTTCTCTCCCTCTCTCTCTCGTTCTCTCCCTCACTCTCTTGTTCTCTCTCTCTCTCGCGCGCGCGCTCTCATTCTCCGCTCTCTCTCCTGTTTCTCCCTCTCTCTCTCATTCTCTATTCTCTCCTTCTCGTTCTCTCCCGCTCTCCCGCTCTCCCTCTCTCATTCTCTTTGCACAAAAGGCGGCTATGCAGAAGAAGAAGACGAACCGCATTTCATGTGGAGAGAGAAGGCGGCGTACACAGGAGAATCGGTCTGTCAAGCGCCCGATTCTCAACGGACTCAATGGCCTCTATGAGTGAGCGGACAGGGTCATGAGGAACCGAAACGGTTAGGGCAGAAGAAGACGAATCGCATTTAATGAGGAGAGAGAATGGGTCCACATGAGAATCGGCCCGTCAAGCAATGGATTCTCACATACCCAACGGCCTGTATGAGCATACTGAGTCACGATGAACCTAAACGGTTCGGCCTCTTAAAAGAATGATCTTATTGAGTTGGTGAGTGATTAGTGAGTTCATTTGAGGTTTCATCATTGCTTGTGGATGTAGAAGGCCAACCTCTGAACCAAGTAAAAATTATTGTGTTATATCTGTTGTGAATTCTTACTTTTTTCTATTTTCTTACAATATAATTTCTATAAGTTTGTATTAGACATTTTTGCTCGAACACCCTTCTCTCTCGTTTCTCTCTCTCTCTCTCTCTTGCTTGTTTTCTCTTGACTAGGGCATTCTCTGAGTGACAAACGGAGGAAGTTAAAAGCCTAAGTGATTCCCTTTTGATTTATGAAAGAGATTAAACCTTCTTTCCTACAATTCAATCACTTTCGTATAGTCCTTAGCTCATTTATTTTCCATCTACTCTCATTTTATCTTTGTGCGACAAAATATAAAGCTTTATGATTTGCTTTATTTTAGAGCTTTAAATTAGAGACATGTTTGCTTTGGATGGCAGGAATTTTTTTTGTGAG